CGGGGGGATAGTCTGGACGCGCGGGTGTCGACATCAAAGGTATTTGTCGACCACTCAGGTAAACCTCATCCCAGGAGGGATGATCAGCTGTTTGTCGGCTCAGCGCGGCAGCCATGTAAATTTAAATGCACCGCTTCATTTTCCTATGTCTGGTAGCCTAATCTACCAAGTCCTAGTCTAGACGTACCCTAAGTCGACTTACAGCCACTGCAGTAATTCCTTTGGTGATGCATGTCTACACAACCCCCATTGGGTCAGTGGTGTGTCCTCAGCCGGAATGCTTTCATTGACCTAACAAGGGCAGCGTAGGGAGCTGAGAGTCCTGTCTAAGCTCTGCTGGTAGCTCCCCGCCAGGAGCCTCGCTGCCCAACAGGCTCCTGGGGGCTGACCTCCTACCTTCCAGGAGCGTGGGAAAAGCCACCCAGGGTGCTTCTCACTAGGAATAGGGTAAAGCTGCCTGGATCTTTTCATCACAGGGAAGCAGGATCCAGGTGCCCCAGCTTCTCAGCCCTCCTCCCATAGGAGCTGGGGAAGCCCACTGGGACTTCTCATCCTGGCTCTCAGCTGGGAGTGGGCTCCTAAGTCACTTCTACTTCTTGCCCCAGCTCCTCGCTGGAAATGGGCTCTGAAGCCACTCTCACTTCTTGCTCCAGCCCCCAGGTGGGAGCAAGCTCCGAAGTTGCTCCATATTGGGCTTCTCATTCCAGCTCCCAGCCAGGAGCAGAGCTAACTCTCCAAGAGGTGGGGGCTTTCTTGTCAATTACACTGCTAATGCCATGAAACTGACAAGAGACCAGATCCGATGTAAAAGGACGCAGTATTTACATACACATTGCGTCTGCCCTAAACACACTGACATAAAACTTATGCCTCTCATAAGAACATAAGAATGGCTGTACTGGGTGAGACCAAAAGTGCATCTAGCCCAGTATCCTGTCTGCCTACAGTGGCCAATGCCAGATGCCTCAGAGGGAGTAAATAGAACAGGTAATCATCAAGTGTCACAAACAGAGGTAATGGACACCATTCCTACCGATTCTGGCTAGTATTGACAGACCTATTCTCCATGAGTTTAGTTCTTTTTTGAATCCTGTTTATGTCCTGGTCTTTACAACATCCTCTGGCAAGGAGTTCCTCAGGTTAACTGTGCACTGCATGAAGATGGAGTTATTATGTCAGGGTAGTATGCCACTTACTTTGGAAGGAAGAAGGCTGTAGTGTAACCACTGGCATAATTAGGTCAATATAAGCTGCCTTATGGCAACCTAAATGTAGTATTGACCAGTCCACCGAATAACTAACTACACTGCCTCAAAGTGATGTTAAAGACTGCTCCTCTGTCTGAAGCAACCTACTTATGTGGATCAAGCTGAAGAAAGTCCTGTCTTGTCACAAAATACATTGGGTCAGAGCAGAGTTAGTGAAGATTCCACAATTACACAGAGTAGTATTTTAGTAGTCTTGAAAAGGATAAGGTGAATTCTTAGCATGACTGAAAAGAAATTATATGGCAGTCAATCATCTCAAAAACTACTTCTAGAGAAAGCAATTTTCACATATTAAATTGATTTCTAAATCACCTTATTATGGTTAAGAAAATACACTACCAACATTTTTTTTTAAAAAAATCCCGAAATTGTCTCAATGAGCACAGATGATTGTAAGTCCATTAAAGTTAACGAGGCACTTTCCACAAACTTTCACAGGCTTTGCATCAGATCCATCAAGCTCATTTTACCTGACTATCTAGCTTTTATAGCATCTTTTAACTTATTTGCTTTTATGCCTTCATTTGGCAACTTGTATAGTTCCCAATGTGACTACTCTTAGGGAAGACTCGTTCTGTTAGGCTACGTCTACACTGGCCACAATTTCTGGAAAAGCCATGCAAATCAGGTAAGTCAGGATAGGGAAATCCGCCTTATTCAAAGTAGGAATAAGAGATCCTCCGGAAAAGGGCTTTATTCCGGAGGATCGCACCAGTCTAGACGCTTTTTTTCCGGCTTTTCCCCAAGCCGGGAAAAAAAGCTTATTGCCAGAATTACCATAGACTTAAATGGGAACAGAATTGTGCCCTATGATCTCTGTTTAGGTTTCTGTGAAATAGTTGCTCTCTCTAGCTGGTGATAGCAAAACACTGGAATACAGCATCCTGCCCTGCTTGTTTTAGATTATTCTCTATGGCTGCGTTTAGACTGGCATGATTTTGCGGAAATACTTTTAATGGAAAAGTTTTTCCATTAAAAGTATTTCCGCAAAAGAGCGTCTATATTGGAAAGTGCCTTTGCACAAAAGATTTGCTTTTGCGCAAAAGCATCTGTGCCCAGTATAGACGTAGTTTTGCACAAGAAAGCTCCAGTGGCCATTTTCGCCATCGGGGCTTTCTTACGCAAAAAATTCCTGCCCCTGTCTACACTGGCCCTCTTGTGCAAGAACACTTGCACAAGAGGGCTTTTTCTCGAGCTGGAGCGTCAGAGTTCTTGCGCAAGAACAGTGACAATCTTACATTAGATCGCCAGCGTTCTTGCGCAAATTCTCGCAGCCAGTTTAGACAGCAGCCGCTTTTGCGCAAAATCTTGCCAGTCTAGACGTACCCTATGGTTTTTAATATTCATCGCTAGTGTGAGCATTACTCTCTTTCACTTTTTAAAAAACTCTTTCATGATATTTCTCTCTGTTGCTTATGTTAACACACACTGGCTTTTCTCTAATTAGGGATTCATTTTTCCTAAATGCTGGGATCATCCAAGTAGCTCTTGCTGAATTCCTTCCAGGGCAGTATAAAATAACTACTGCTTTCAGATGACAATTTTCATGTCCTTCTTTAAAGCATGCAAGTCATTCAATCAATTTGACAGCAGAGATTACACTAGACTACTTTACTTCTTTGGCCTCACAAAAGCTTAATTTGTATCAGCAGTAAATTCTCTACTTGTGCTCTGATTTTCACATAAGCTGCATATTGCTATTAAGTCATGATGATCTGCTCACATACCTTTACTAGAACTGAACATTTTGACACTAATCTTATGTACTGTGCTCCACAAATTCACTGTATAGGAACACAGGACATTTTAGTGGTAACATCTTCACAGGGGAAATCTTATCCTTAATGAGTGTTTAGCCATTGCCTTCAACATGTTTAGGATTTCACCCTATGTTACTACATCTCCTCTGTTCTCCAAAGACTGTTGGTCTAGAGAAAAGTAACCTCTGCCAGATCAGAGGAATATAGATAAGAGAGCCTGCACTACAGACTATACAGCTTTCACAGTTTTTAGTGGCAGTAAAAAGAGTTTTATTTACAACTTCACTGATAGGTAAAAATAATTGTATCTCTTAGTTAGAAAAAAGTTGCTTTGATGCTCCACTGTAGAGCGTTATTAGTATTGCTAAATGTCCTTCTGGTTTTCTAAGGAAGTATGAAAAAAGCTGCAATTCCTCCACTCTACTTATTGAGTTTATTATGTAAAGTTTAATCTTCAACTACAAATGGATATAACATGCCTGACTGTTTTAATCTCCTAGCAAGAATGGCCATCATGTGCTTTCTTCCCCAAGAATGCCCATTAGTTGTTGTGACCTATCCGCTTGCTTGGATGACACTTATCTTTTTGGCTGTCTTGCTGGGATCAAATGTTCATGGCTTGTCTATCAATGATGAATATTTGGACAGTTGAGAAATCAGTTTTTTATCTTTCATTTTAGATCTAGACTTTTAATGATTAAAATACGTGAATTACTAGATTCATAGAATGCTAACTGGAGAATAAATTACAAGCTCTATGATAAACTCAAAACAATTATAATAATTCTATACATGTCTATATTTTATTAAAAGATTTGCTGTCTTCCATTTAAGGGACTACACAACAAAGTCTTTATTGTAGTACAGGCTGGACCTCCCTGGTCTGTCCTATGGCTTGTTTATCTGTGGTGGCTATTTAATTTGTTGCAGCACATACTATGTTGCAGCACATACTCTAGTATCAAGAAACTTTTCAATGATCTCCATATTATTTAACAGTTATTACTTCATGTTTCTCAGTTCTATAAGAAACTTATGCAAGTTTTGCCATCACCTTCATCAATGGGTCCAGGCTTTCACCTCAGTTACTTTTCTTTAAGTTCCTTATTTCTCTTAGACAGTATTCACATACCCAGTGTCCTTATTACAATATACCAAAAATTAAGGGTAATGAAGGTTTCATCAACTAAATACTGAATTTCTGCTAATAGTTTATTCTCTTCCCATTATTTTTTCCTGTCCTATTGCTTTAGTTCTATCTTCAGCTACTTGAGTTTTGAAAGAGAGTGTGCTCTAGAAGTTACTGCATAAGTGGGTTCCCATGAAAGGTCATGATATTATCTACATGTTTTGTTAGTCTCTAAGGCGCAGCTAGACTATTTGTTGTTTTTTAAGTTTTTCCAGTTACAGACTAACTCGGCTACCCCTCCGAAGCAGAAGTAGTAGTCACAATTTCCAGGATCTATTTCCAGCTCTACTATAGATTCACTATGTGACTTGGGCAAGTTTCTTAACCTCCTGTATTTCAGTTTCCTCATTTGTAAAAACACATATAATATTGTACTCCACAGAAAATAATTCATTAATATCTATAAAGCCCTCTGAGACTCTCATATAAGAAAACATAGATAAAGCATTATGAAATCACTGCTAAACCTTTAAACTGCTATTTAAAACTCTCACTAACATCTAAAAACCCCCAAAACGCTCTCACAATAGGACCAAGGGACATTACCTATTGATCACAAATGTTTACTAAATGAATGTTTTAACACAATTGATAGCATCATGCAAAACATATTACCTCTTCTCACTCTCCTCTTGATCTTTGCTAGGACTGCAGATTACACACATTCATTATTCACTTGGATATTGCATACAGAGAGTTGATTTGTTCTCACCCTTTTTCCTTTGAAGTTTAGGACACCAGGCTGCCCCTGCTCCCCATAACACCAACAGATAGCGCTGATCTTTGATCTGTTCCACTGTTAGAATAATTTTCCTTTGTGTCTCTCCTTTATAACTATATAAAGACTCTGAAAAGGTTTTAAACAATATCATTGATATTTTACAGAACAACTTACTGAAAACGTACATGAAAATACCTATGAAACCACAGAGCCAGTTAGGGAGGAGTGGAGAGGGGGCAGCAAATGTTTCCCTTCGCTCCCACATCTTCTGCACTTGCTCAAGTTCCACAGGTCACAAGTGGTGGAGGGACAGGGGGTGGAGGCAAAGCCTGACCACTTTTAAGCAGTGACCCCATGCTGCCAGTGCACCTGCTGCCAGAATGCTGCTTCAGCTTTTTGGTCACAATGGCACTGAAATTGTATCCAACTTTGTAGAGATGGAGAGGCAATCAGGCCAGTTTTCAGTGTGTGGCATTGTGACCTGGAGCCCTGGGCCAGAATGCGACTCAAATTGGTCTAGCCATCCAGTCCTCCAGAAGGGTGCCCGGGCTAAAAATGTTGCGACCTGGCACATGGGGAGCCTGTTTCTCTGTAGTACAGTGCAAAGGAATTGGCCAAGAATTCAACTCCTGGCGACACTGGCTCAAGCACTGTGGGTAAGAGAAATGGGAGACTTCCACTGAGATCAACAAATGTGATATACTCTGGAAAATAGAACCATTAATTAGGTGCCTTAAAGGGAGGTGCCAAGTACTAAGACTTTAAAATCTTGCCTCAAACATTTACAGCAATGCTCTTCATAGGAATTGCGGACTCTCAGATTGACATGAATGGAATAAGAAGCATTCTGAATATCTCAGGATCGTGCTCAAAGCTAGAACAAGCTAGCATAACTGGGAATTGTTAATTCTCCATAGATGGGGTTGGGAAGGAATTTTCCCTCAGGTCAGAAGGACAGATGGTACTAGTTAAGGTGCTTTCTCAAAGAAATATTTTCTAGTGTTTTTCACTGAAAACAGAAATTATTGCTGTATGTACAAACAGACTAACAGGAGTAACAGTGATAAAATTTTGAATTAATTCCTATTCATCTCATCATTCTTAAGTGATTTCAGGTCATAGAGTTTAAGGCCAGAAGGGGGACTGCTATATGTTACAGGTCAACACCACCAACCAGGACCTGCACATTAAACTCAATGACCAAAATATTACAGTCCACTGAAGACTAAACTATTATTTGCAACAGGGAGGAAACAGGAAGGATGAAGGAGCACCAACGCCCGAAGTCACTGTAATGGTAGGGCACAGATTAAGTGAAATATACCTAGATAATCCTGGCAACAAATAGTGCAGAGGAAGGCCCAAAACAAAACAAAACCCCACCAAGGTCACTGACCTGGGGAAAATTTCTTCCCAACCCCATATACGGAGGTTAGTTAGATACTGAACAAAAATTAGGCACCCAAGCACTTAAGGGTGAGAGAATGTCTCATTGCCCATTAGAGTACTGATCCCACCTATTCCAGTAACCCATTTTCATTGCTAGTACTTCAGATGAAAGAGAAGGGAAGGTTACTCACCTTGTGCAGTAACTGGAATTCTTTAAGATGTGTCCCCGTGGGTGCTCCACTTAGGTGTGTCAGCGCTGCTGTGCACACGGCCCGGAGATCTTTGCTAGCAGTCCCCGGCCACCTGCACCTGCACATGCCGTGCTATTGTGCAATTACCCCAATTGACAGTTGGAGCAGAGGGGAGGAGGGTGGGCATGGAGCACCCACGGGGACACATCTCGAAGAACTCCAGTTACTGCACAAGGTTCTTCGAGGGTTGCTGTGGATGCTCCACTTAGGTGACTACGCAGCAGTGTTCCTGCTTGGCAGTGGGCACTCCGTGATGCAGGACTGGATGTTGGACAGGACCGTACGTCCAAATCTCGTGCCTGAGCCCTGAAAGGTCTAAATAGCGTAATGTTGTGCAAACATATGGGCCAAAACCCATGTTGCTGCCCTGCAGGTAATGTCCATATGTAGGCCCTTAAGGAAAGCAGCCGTGGTAGATGCTGCTCTCGTAGAGTGCACCTATTGGCTGTGTTTTTCTGGGAGTAAGCCAACTGTATGCATGCAGAAATCCATTTGGATATTCACTGTTTGGAGACAGGTTGACTTCTAGACCTGTCCACGCAAGACACAAATAGTCTGAGTGTTCTTCGGAAGTCTTTTGTATGTTCCAGGTAAAAGGCTAATGTCCTGAGTACATCCATCATGTGTAGTGCTGCTTGGCTGCTGTCCTCGTGTGGTTTTGGGAAGAACATAGGTAGATATATCGGTTTGTTACAATGGAATGAGGTAGGTATCTTGGGGAGGAATTTCAGGTGGGTTCTAAGGACAACCTTGTCCTTGTGGAATACGGTGTATGGTGGATCCGCCATGAGTGCTGCTGTCTCTCCCACTCTGCTGGCTGATGTTAGCGCAACGAGAAAAGCTACTTTCATCAATAGGAATAGTAGCGAGCAGGTTGCAAGTGGCTCGAAAAGCCATCTCAAGAGTGAATCCAGCACAAGGTTCAGGTCCCATGATTGCACTGGATCTCTATGCGATGGATACAGGTTTCGTATCCCTTTGCGAAATCTCTTAATGCATGGGTGGGAAAAAACAGAATACCCTTGTATGAATGGGTGAATCGCTGATATAGCTACTAAGTGTACGCTGATGAAACTAATTGATAATCCTGTGTCCTGCAGGTGAAGGATATATTCTAGTACGTCCGAAATCCCTGCCTTGTGTGGATCCTGTGCTTTGGTCGAATTTCAGGCCGCAATCCTGGCCCACTTTCCACAGGGAAGTTCATCTCATAGTTGGTCTCCTGGAATTAATTAGAATGTTTCTGACCCTTTGAGACAGAGTTAGCTCTTTGTGTGAGAGCCAACAAGCATCCAGGCTCACAGGTTTAGTGTATGTAGCCCAGGATGTAGCATACACCCCCTATCCCAAGTCAGGAGAGCTCGTACCGGGGGAAACTTGTACGGCTGACGTGTGCTGAGTTGGAGTATGGTAGGGTACCAAATTTATCTTGGCCAATTGAGGGCTATGAGTATGATCCTTGCTGCCTCCTGTTTGACCTTTATTACCATTTGATGTATTAGAGGTATAGATGGAAATGCATATGCAGTGTATTGCAAATGCATATCTGAGAGATTGCAGTCCAATGCCCGCCTTGGAACAATATCGGGGGCACTTGGAATTGATGTGCGTTGCAAACAAGTCTACAACCGGTATCCCCATCTCCTGTAAAGGTTGTTTATGATAGATTTGTTGATCTCCATTTCGTGATTCTGTGGGAATTGTCTGCTGCGAGCATTCACTAGTACATTGTCCTTGCCTGGCAAATGGATAGTGGTAGGTGTGATATTGTGTACAACACACCATCGCCATAGTTTTGATGCTTCTGCACATAGGCTGTGAGACCTCATGCCCCCCCTGCCTGTTTATGTAATACGTCATTACGACATTGCCCAACAATATCCTTACGGTCTTGTTTCGTATGTACACAAGCAGTTGGAAACATGCCCTCCTCACTGCTCTGAGCTCCAGCACATTGATGTGAAGCCGAGACTCTTCACATGCCCATTGTCTCTGTAATATCACACTCCCCATGTGGGCTCCCCATCCCAGAAGCGATGTGCCTGTCATGATAGTGACAGATGGCGATGGCATTTGAAATGGAAGTCCGATACAGATGTTGTTCAAGTCTGTCCATCAATCTAGGGTGGCTTTGGGGACAAGGAGTGTCTTGCAGAGTAGGCTGTGCGTGGGGCAGTACACAGAGTGTAGCCATGCCTGGAATGGCCTCATATGTAGACGGGCATTTGGGACCACAAACGTGGACGCTACCATGCATCCAAGTATTTGCAGGCATGTACGTGCCGTGGTGTGTGCTCTACTCTGTACGGAAATGATCCAACATTCTAGACCATCTGTGGGTCGGCAGTCAGGCTATGCCCTGAGTGCAGTCCAACTGTGCCCCTATAAACTCCAGAATCTGGGTAGGAGTGAGGGTGCACTTTTCTAAATTCAAATAACGCTCTTGTTGACTCCAGTGATAGTTCTGTGTCGCTATAGGTGGATGCCACGATTAAACAATCATCAAGATATGGAAATATATTTATTTGTTTTCTTCGCAAGTGTGCGAAGAAAACATGGACAAAACTTTGGAAAAAACTCTGGGGGCTGTGGACAGCCTGAAGAGGAGCACCCTGTAGTGATAGTGTAAGTCCTTGATGGTGAACCTGAGGAATCGTCTGTGAGCCAGATAAATAGATACACGAAAACATGCATCCTTGTGGTCGAGGGTAGCTAGCCATGCTCTTTTCTTCAAGGCAGGTATAGTCTTTGCCAGCGTGACCAACTTCAACCATTGAGATTTGATGAACCGGTTGAGTGCACCCCCTTCCCCCCGATTTCTTGACAGAAAGTATTAGGAATAAAATCCCCATTCTCTGTAGCAGCTGGGTACCTCCTCTATAGTGCCTAATCCTAGGAGATGCTGTGCTTCTTCCAGGAGGACCAACTCATGCGAGTCCCTGAAGAGGGACAGGGAACGGGGGTGGGTTGGTGGAACTGCTGTGAATGGTATGCAGTATCCAGTTCATATTATTTCTAGGACCCATTGGTCCAAGGTGATGGTTTCCATGGTGGGTAGAATGCAGCAAGTCTGTTTCCAAATATTTGTTTGCTTGGTTGTACCTGCCCTGGAGAATCACGGGCTTTTGTACTCTTGACCAAATCCTCAAATTTGCTGACGTGAGTAGATGCCTGGGTCAATGATTGCTCATTTGACTGTCTTTGTCAAGTTTGTCTCATACACATTTTGTTTTCATAGGGTCTTTGCTGTTGTGTATACTCTGATGTTCTGTACCTCTGGTTATATTGTTTATATTGTTTCCTCTTGGCTCTGGGCAGCTGTATCCCTAGTGTGCTGAGTGTCACCCTGGAGTTCTTCAATGTGTGGAGAGCTAAATTTGTTGCCTCTGCGAAGAGCTTTTCACCCTTGAATGGGAGATTCTCAATATTCGATTGAACCTCCTTGGGGAACTCCGACAGCTGCAGCCATGACATCTGGGTAGGAGTAATCAACATTACTGCGGATGCTGTCAACCTGGCTGCTGTGTCTGCTGCATCTAATGCAGCCTGTAGAGCTGTTTGGGAAATCAATGAACCTTCTCTGATATTTGATTCAAACAGCTCCCTCACATTCTCTGGTATATACTGAATAAAGGAACTGAATGATTCAACCGTATTGTGCGAGTATTTTGCTAGTAGAGCTACATAATACACAATTCACAGCTAGAGGGAGGCTGAGGAGTAGGCTTTCTTCCCCATAGTGTCCAGTCTTTTTGTCTCTTTATCATGACGTGGTGTTTTGGGGTACTGTTGTTGTTTCTTCTCTGGTTGGCTGCTTTGACCACTAGTGAATTAGAGGAAAGGTGAGAGAAGAGGTATTCGACCCCAATGGGGGCGACATAGTATTTCTTATCTAGGTTTTTCGATATTGGAGGCACCGATGCTGGAGTTTTCCAGATTAATTTAGCTGGATCCATCAATGCTTTGTTCATTGGTAAAGCCAGCCTGGTATGTTAAGGTAAGCTGAGTATGCTCATGAGTTCATGTTTGATCTGTGTTACATCGGAGAGTTTAATGGCAAACGTGTCTATTATCCTCCTAAACAAGTCTTGGAACCTTCTAAAGTCATCCCCTCTGACTGGTGATGTGTGGAGACTGTGTTCGTATGTCGTGGTATAGGAATTATTGGGCAGAATAGAGGAAGCCTATGTTGCATCCTTCATAGATGACACACTGTCATGGTCAGTTTGATCCCAGTCAGCTCATCTTTGGGTATCTGTAGGAGCTGACTGTGCCCCAGGGACCTGCACAGTGTTTTGAAACTGTGGGGTTTGATAAGGCGCCCAAAGATCCCAACAGGCTCACTCTGGGGGCATCAGTGGGGGCATCCCCTGTGCCATCTGAAACTTCTGCATTTGCTGTTGTTGTGGTTCCGCATATAGAGGTACTCTGTGCTGGCCCACTGACTGCTCCTCCTCGTCATCACTAAATCTGGCTGATGTTTGTGAGTCTGATGTTGAGGAGAACAGGGAACCTCTAGTCTATGGGGTACCATCAGTACCGAATAGTGGGGAGCATGGTACTGATTGTACTGTGAGGTCTGTCTCTGCCATGAACCTTGGTACCAGAGTATCCAGAGGCGTTGTTGTGTGGTTCCATACAGCTGCCTGCATTGGTACCGATGGCACTTTGAAGTGTGTCACTACCGGTGGTACTGTGTATTTGTGTAAGTGCAGCATTCCACTGCTCTGCAGATTGTCGGCTTGCTTGCTCCTCTGTGGTACCGTGTCTCCCACTGGTACTGCATTACTGTGTGGAGAGCTTGAAGTGTGGCCAGCAGCTCCATGCTTCATATTAGGGTTGCAGCTTTTCTTTAAGATGGATCCCCTATCCCACTTTTGGGAGTCCTGCCTGGTGGCATTCTTATCAGCCTCCTTTGTCTTTTTGTTTGCTAGAGGCTGAGGCTCAGCAGGGGACTGGGAGCATTTCCTGCTTCGCTTTGGGTCCTGCTCTCTAGCATGTCCCTGCGAGGGAGTGCTCCCCCTGCCCTCCTCCTCAAGAGGGTTATCTCTGGGTGAGGGTGAGAGGGTTGAATGAGGCTGAGACACAGCCATGTTGTGGTCCAAAACTAAATCTTCGTTGTAGTTCTCTCGCCTTCTTAGATTGTGGGGCGAGCTTCTGACAGTGCGGGCAGTGGCTGACAGGACAATCTTGCCCTAGGCAGAGCAGGCACTGCTCGTGTCTGTCTGCTGCTGCAATTGCTGTCCCGCACCCTGTGCGCCTTTTAAAACCCATGGATGTGGGCCTAACAGGAGGAGTTTTTTTCCTTTTTGTTGTCCATCTGGAGAGCGGGACACAGTGGAAGCGCCCACGCACCACTTGGCTCGCTTTACTTTCTGTTGTTATCCTTTTCCTCCTTTCTCTTTTTTTTCCTTCTTCCTTTTGATGCTGTTAGGGAGACTGACTAAGTGCAACTGTTGCCTGTGGCAGTTGAGAAGGACCTGAGGGAACAGCTGCCGTCGCATGTCTGTCAATTGGGACAGCACACGCGGGCAGCCGGGGGACTGCTAGCAAAGACTGCTAGCAGCGCCGACACACCTAAGTGGAGCATCCACGGGGACCCTCGAAGAAGAAACAAAACAAAACATAATAGAGGGAGGGAGCTGGGGGGGGGGCTGGAGCCCTGAAGCATGGGCTTTTAGGAACATAAATCATAAACTGGAAATGAGCCCCAGAGCTCTCAATGCCCCAGACATCACAAAACAAACTCATCATGCAAGCTCACACAGAAATGTGTCCAACCCTGTCAAAACTCAAGTAGCTTGCCCCCACACTCCTATGGGGAGGTAACCTCACTTCTGATCATTCTCCTCCTCCTTTTAATTTCCAGACTGAATTTGTTCATAGCCAGTTTATACCCATTTGTTCTTGTGCCAACATTATTCTTTATCTTAAATAGCTCTTCACCCTCCTTGATGTTTACTCTCGACATATTTACAGAAAGCAATCGTATCTCCTGAACAAGCCAAACTCATCTAGTGTCATCTCATGAGGTAGGCTATCCATTCCTCTAATCCTCCTAATAGCTCTTCTCTGTACTGTTCAAGTGTGAATTCATCTTTCTTAAACATGGATGGCCAGAAAGGTACAGAGTATTCAAAATGAGGTGCTAGTAGTGCTTTATACAAATGTTATTGATACGTTTCTCTCTCTCTACTGAAAGCACCTTGCCTAGGACCAGGGTTCCCTCTAAGCAGCAGGGTAGCACAGCTTCACAGGTGATTACTCAGCTCTGCCCAGTCAGAGGCTCAGGGCTCCACCCATGGAGCTGACTGACTGGGCAGGGCTGATTAATCACCTGTGAAACTGTGCTACTGCACAGCTTAGAGGAAACACTGCCTAGGACCTACACCATATAAGTGGCTTGGGTCATTCTCTAATCCAGTGGTTCCCAACCCCGTTTATGCTGTGGACCAGCAAACCCATTCACAAACTTTAGGAAGACTAGTAACATTTTATTTGCATACATGCATATTCATTATGCAAATAAAATGTTACCAGTCCACCAAAAGGCCCAGCCCCCAGAGCCGCTGCGAATAACTGGCTTCAGCTCTGGCAGTCGTCATGTGTTTCTCCAAAATGTACTGTTGTTTAAAACTGATGGTTTGTGGAGCAGGATTTAACTACCTTTTAGCATATTGGCAAGGTGTCTGAGTTTGCAACATAATCATGAACTTGTGTCATTTAAGGCTCAAGAAATCCATGTACCTGTTAGTATAGTGATGTTAACAAGTTTTAGTACCAAATGCACCAATGTATCTGGCTGAAGTTGGTCTAGCTGGACAAACTGTATGCCATCCAACTTCTGTGGTTTTCTGCATGGAAGGTCTCTGAAGTAGGTATATTTTGAAGACACATATGCCAGCAAATCTTGAAGAACATCAGCATCTACAACATGGGAAACTTGAAAAGAAAAAAAAATCATCTGATCCTTTCTCCATTTTTGGCCATGAAATGTATTATAATTTGAATAGTGAGTGTTTGGACTGAAAAAATAATTCTGATCCAGGGCAGCACCTGGAAGTATCATGATAAACAGTCTATCATTTGGTTCAGATTTTGCAATTAAAACATTTTTATTTATTTGCCATTTTAAAAGTCAGCTACCCATAATGTACTGTTTGATAGTTGTTCAGCACAACACTCATGTAGCTTTAAATGCACCCAAAATTAGTAAGAAAATCAAAACAGATCTTACACCATTACAGAATCATATAAAGTAGTTCTCATTAAAAAGTCAGCATTTACTAAAGAGCTGTATCTGAAATGCAGCTGTTATTTCTTTTTTAAGTACAGGGAACTCAGATAGTTCTGTAAATGTTTGCTTTGTATCATGAACACTCAATTGTGCCACAGAGTCCATCTGGCTAGCAGTCCAGATATGCTCTTTACAAATCATTTTCTAGTGTCGTGCACACTTCAGATGTTTATTTTAGCAGGGAAAATCCAAACAACAATAAAAAGATTATTTTTAAACAGCCATTTTTCTTTTAAAATAAAAACTTGAAAATAAGTGATTTAATCTTTCAACAATTCTATTATCTGAATCTAGTAAAGTTAAGAATTAGATAAAATATAAAGATTCTCTTATGCACATAATCCAGTCTCACATTTTTTGGGATCAATAGCTGAGCAGCTCCCCAGATTAAATAACTGACTGGTAAATGTTGACTGCAGCATCATTTCTCCATACCACTTGTTCTCATATACAATGACATCTGCAACAAAGAAAGCAGGTATCAATCCACTGCATATTAATGTTGATTACATAAAGGTCCTATCCTCCAACATAATAAATCTTTAAAGTGATTTTAGCTCTGAATCTGAAATCTTTTATTTAACCCATCTAATGTTCAAGTTGCTCCATCTGTTTCCCTGTCTTTTCCAATGCATTACAGCTTACCTACCATCCTGTCTTGCCAGTGGCCTTCTCTACCACTCAGGGAGGCTAATCTCCTTTCATGAGCTACCTAAAGGCATGTCTTCACTACAGGCTGGATCAATGGGGAGTGATCGACCCAGTGGAGTTTGGTTTACTGTATCTAGTAGCAGACCTAAATGCCTTGACTTTGGCTACATTATTTACTTAGCTGAAACTGAATAACTTAGGTTGATGGTCCCACAGGATTGTAGACAAGGCTTAAATAGGGACCTAGGGCTGACCTTGAAAGAAGCATCCAAACTGTTCCTTTGGCTTTCAATATATTCCTAGGACCTGATCCTGCAAAGTTGTTCCATGTAGTTAGAGACCAATGCACATGTAGAACCCTATTTACGTCAGTGGAACTAGCTGGCAGGACAAGAGCACTAGCTTGTGGCTGAAGGTTTTTTAAGGAAAAGGATATCTTTTTATAATGGCTTACTTTTAAAACAAATAATGTTCAGAATTTGCAGAGAACCTATACAAGTATTGCTTTATCAAGTCTTGTTAATGGCAGTCATCCCCTACTGTAGGATTTAATATCCAACACGAGTATCTTATACAGACACATTATGCAATGGAATTAGATTTATCAAGTATGATTTCCAAACAGCAAGGCAGGTAGACTGACAGTTTCTTATTGACTCGTACAGCCTGTCTGAGGCAGGCAGTGCTAGGCTGGCTTAAAAATACTTCTGATGGAGTCTGAGATAAGGTAAACAAAAAGAGGAAAGGGGTAGGGTAGCTATCTTTACTTTCAGTTTTTCTATAACATGTAATATCACAGTATCTATGCACTGAAAAAGTTAAAACTAAACAATAAACAGTGTTTAAACATTCAAAAACCTTGAAAAAGTCACAACAAGCAAGAGGTAACGTAAACTATCAATACTGGGTGCAGTATAAGAGCCTACATGAGAGTAAGGATAACTAGATAAAAGCACCCCAGCATTTGTATTCATGGGATTTGGTAATAAGAACAATCCTATTTCACCTTCATGGAATAAACAGTCAGATTATGAAACCATATCGCAGTGAGGATTTTGTTCAGCTTGTGGAAAATTCTGGATTACTTTTCCACTTTCAGGTAAAGAAACAGTTTAGGAATGCTATGGCACCATATGAAATATGACAGCCAAGATAGATAAAACATCCTGGGATCTTTTTCAAATGTATTGTAGAGTTGACTAGATGGAGATAACGGTTCTAAAGTTTCACACTCTTCTTTTTTTTTGCTTTATTTTGGCTAAATCCAGAAATATCTTAAGCAAATGTAGCTCCCCTATGTTCCATCTTCATACATCAGGGATTAATTTAATCCCAAATGTATCTGAAAAGGAGATAGCAAATATCATCAGGAGCTGTCACCAATCTTAACTAACTTATCCAGAGCTGGATGAATCCCAATTCTCTACACCAGCTTTCCATCCACTGAATATCTAATTCAGGTTTCTAATACTGATGTAAAAAGCCCTTAATAGCATAGGCCCAAGCTGACTGCTTCTCTTTCTGGGATTTGCCACAACAGTTAAAATCCATGACTATCAGTAACAAAGAACTACAACAGAATCAATCCAAATAAGGATCTCAAAAGCCAAACTGTTAATGATTAAAATCAAAAGGCAAAACCCTCAAAACACCTTGTTCCTTCTGGACAGATTCCAGTGTTTTCTATGATGTATGTGCCGCAACTAGATGGCCACAGTGATAGCTGCTTTATAAATGCTCACTGGCTGGACAGATTACATACACCGAATATACATGACTTTACTTACTGTTGTATATCAAGGTCAATATATTGCTGTTCTACAGCATGTATGCTTCAGATCAAAGATATTATACAAAAATTACTCATTTAACATGTGCCCGCTTAACATGTTTTCGCAATAGCACAATTTTTTTTTTTAGGGAACTTTTTCAAATAACACAACCGTCCCTGAAATAACACGAAAATAATCAAGTGACGGACTACTTAGTGCGGTGGTATAAGTTGATTAAAACAGTAGTAATACGCATGAGCAGATGAACCCACGTGGTCATAGTGCTCCTCCGCTCACTCACGTGTTTATCTTTGTGTTTTAACAAATGGCAGCAACTTGTGTTGCTAGATATCTAATGTTGACGTTGACGACTGAGCACCAACAAAAAACTGACTTTGCCACCACTACCTGAAACGCAACCCCCACATTTTCCATTATTTTTAAAGGGAAAATTGACCCCAGCTAGCACGTTTTTGCTTAGCACGAACATTTTCAGAAATGCATCTATAGTGTTAAATGAGGAATTACTGTACAACATACAGAAATGTGTGTCTGTCTGTCCACCTGAGAGACCTTCTAATGCTCAAGAACTCCTCCGAAATGGTAAGAGCTAGGACACCAAATTTGGCATGTGGCTTCTTCTTATCATAACTTAAAGCATGGTCAGGGTTTGGTTGTGCCAGGATAATGGGGTGTGTGTGGAATGTTATTGTTTCCTATCAAAGGGAAAGGGAGGGGTGTGAGAGCAGGAACGACAGCAAGCACAGATGACAGTTATATTTATGAATGACAAAGAGGGCAACAAACACCCCAATGAACAGTCACTGGCCAGCAGCACAGTCCTCACCACCCAAGCCTGTCCTGGGGAGCAGCTGCTAGCCACCGTGCAGCCACCTCCTACCCCAGGAAATGCCGATGGGTGAGCCACATGGGCTCCTACTGTCCCGAAACTGGTCCTGGGGAGCTTCTGCAGCCTCCCTACCCTCCCTGCCTCCAGGGAACACTGTTTGGTGACCTGCACAACCTCCTGCTGCCTCAGGGCCAGCCCAGAGAGCGCTGGCATGCAGCTTCCATGTCCTCCTGACCCCGTTCTGGGCTGGCCCCCCCGTTCTAGAGCGTGGGTCCCCAATCCAGGCTGACCCTAGCCATGGGCAACACCGGGTAAGTCTTTCAGCAATATAATATAAAGTTCTTGCTCTCTAAATCACAATTTGTTGCTTTCTAAGTGGCAGGATAATTCTGATAATTTTGAGTGATTAAACTATAATGATTGCAATCCTAAATTATTCTACATTTGGTACAGAAAGTATTTTTAAAAGATACATTTTAAAGAACAAAAACATTAAAAATTGAATTTTTACCTGTGAGTAGTACAATATCTCCAGGAAACACTGTGAGTGCCCAAAAAGCAGCCGCCCGCCACAGCACAACCTTCTTCTCTATTTCTGATTGGTCGATAACTATAATAGTTGCAATGGGAACTTTAGAGGAAGATTTTGGTCTTGACTTTATCTGTATTTCTTTGACATGACAAGGATGTAGTACTGTAACCAAAACACTGTACTTCTGGTTCTTGCAGCAGCAGTTTTTAAGTAGCCATGGATTTGGCCGAAATTTCCAAAACTTGGACATCATTTCTTGATCTACTTTTGTTTCAGGCTTGGTTGCAGAACAAATCAGTTTAGGTCTCTTTGATTTCTGCTGGGCTTTCAGAGTCGAGTGAGAAATACTTAGGAAGTCTTCAGATGTTCGGGCTCTTTTAGAAGAGCCTTTATAATAATTATCTACTTGTGAGCACAATATTCCTGTGCTCAATGGTTCAATACAGATCTCATTCTGCAGTTGTTCATTATCATCACTGACAAGTTCTTGAGAGTCTTCTATGTTTTCCTGAGAGCTTGTTTGTCTTTCTGTAGACTCAAGACAAGTAGTGTTCCTGGCGCTCTCCGAACTGAAAAGTTCAAGGGAACACACAGACTCTTGGTCAGTCTCAGACACATGAATGCATGCTCCAACAACAAAATTAGTCTGGAAAGGTTCATCTAAAACTACTTCATTTTCTCCACTTTTTTTTTCTACTTCTGTTTCCTTCAGTTTCTTGGCTTCCTTCTGCATTTGATTCTGTTCTTTAAAATGCTTTTGGGCAAGAATGGCAACTTGACTTGATGTTCTTATACTAAGAAATTCAGTTTCTGTTGATATTGCAAAGTCTGAACAGTCACGCATTGGTCTATTTGTTTTTGACTCCTTTGCTATTTTGGGAAAAAACATTTCCAGATACTGACTAAGACGTTCATGATGGACACTATGATCATTTAATAAAACATCTTTTCTCATAGACTTTAAATGTATGCTAATCTCTTTAGTACTGGAAACCAAGTCAGAAATATCACAGCACTCATCTTCCAGATGTCTGACATCTTTTTCAGAAAGGTTTGGAAAACATTCTTTTGATGGTTTTCTATGCAGTTCATCTGTTTTTATAAATATATCAGGAAGTTGTTGATCTGCAACTCGATTCATATTTTTCCATGTGTCTCTATGTTCAGATATTTGATAACCATAGGAAGTCACATCAACAGTCCTCTTCAATGCAGTATCATGAGTTTCCATCCTTCCAACTACAGGTACATATGTCAAATAATCTTCTGCTATGCCAAACCGTCCCTGTTCAGAGTTCACAGAGAAATGATCTCTTGTGTGAATAGCTACGCCTCTGGGATCTGGTGACTGATGTTTCGCATGATCTGGGCATTGACATTTTCTGTCAGAAAGATGGAAGGCGTGTTTGTCAAATGAAAGGTGGAGTTCTTTCCATGTTTCAGCAGTGGCTACCGAAAAACTCTGTTCCTCTGACACTTCCGCCGGGGTTGGAATGATGGGCGCTCCAAAGAAAATATGGATTTGGGGTCTTCCAAACATGCTTTTTGTATTTTTTAGAAAATAAAATTTGAAATGTTGTATTTGTTGCTCAAAATAGTAACATAAAATGTCAAAAATCTTCATTAACTTAGTTTCCTCGCAGTCTTGTCAAGTTTTCAAATAATTAATTAAAAAAGATAAACGTTGTGTTTCATAAATTACCTGGCTAACACTATAAATAACGCAGGGGGTAGCTGAGTTAGTCTGTACAGGATTAACTTAAAAAACAACAAATGGTCTCATAGCACTTTATAGACTAACAAACCATGTACATGGTATCATGAGCTTTCATGGGCACAGCCCACTTCAGCTGACTGGAGGTTTTTTTGAAAAGTCATAGATTCAAAACATAATAAACTGGAACAAGTTAGTCTGCTCTACAACTCAAAATAGAAATACGGTAATATTAGACTGCTTTTTCATTCTGATACTTGTCCCTATGAAACATAAATAAATGTGCAGTGCAAACAAACACTCTTGTACAAAATTTCCAGGAAGTTAAACCTCTTTTACATTTGTGAAAATTCAAATATCATCATAATCTACTAATTAAACAATTTAATATGAACTGATTATTTCTACTTTTATATTATATTGGCAGAAATAAATACCTATATCAGAGATTTCTTATAGCATGATTTCATGTTATGGGGGGGGAGTCTCAAATACACACTAAGAATTGAAACAGTTAAATCTTGTTTAAAAGTTACTTTCAAATAGAAAAGCTTTCCATCAAAGCAACTATTTGAAAAAATTCTAATTATTTGTATTAAAAATCCCACACTATATCTGAGTAATTTCTTCAGCATCAGTTGATATTCATGTAAGTAATGACAGACTGAGCCAAGGAAGTTACTAGTCTTTTCTTCAAATCAACAAGTGTGTTAATTTTTAAGCAGTTTGTAAAAAAGGACTCTCAGATTCTTCATCTATCCCACAAATCTTCAAATTGAACTGTATGTTGGAACAATAGCCTAATCCTGATACTGTCCAAAGATAATTGCCTCATACGGAATTTCAGGAAAGTGCATGCATCTGCTTATTTCTGTCCAAATGTTCTGAGAGTTGTGGAACAGTGAATCCTGTTAAAGCCGCAAGCATAAAAAAAAAAAATCACACAAAAGAAGTTCAGGAATTTTTGATCCAGCTGCAGACAGAAGAGAAGAAGAAAACATTTAAACACTGCAATGAACTCTCTGCTCCCTCCCCCCCGCTATTTTTAATCAGTTTCATTTATTTAATAGTTTCTCAATTGCCCACAAGAGGTCACCAAACCCTGTGACAAACTTCACAAAACGCATTCACAAAACGCATAAAAATAACTGGAGAAAGGCCATATAATAATGCTGTGGACACAAAGACTTATGCTATATCAGAAGCTGGAAAAATATGTGGTCATATGGTGAAAGACTATTATAATGCATACACACAAAGAGGAAAAATTAAAGCTTCAAAGGCAACCTTTGGACTTCCTTAACTTTCTGGACTTTCTTTAGTGCTTGATATTACAACCTTAATAATGTTCTCTTCTTGTTGTTTTTATGTAACAGCACTCAAAAATAAAACAATGTAAAACTTTAGAGTTTACACATCCACTCAGTGCTATTTCTTGTTCTGCCAACTGCTCAGACAAACAAGTTTATGTTTATGGTAGATAATACTTCCCACTTATTTGCAATGTTACTTAAAACTGAGAACAAGTGGATTCTATTTGACAGAGATCTAAAGCAATGCAGAACAAACAACCTTCATTTTCATCATCTGAGTCAGATACCACTGCAGAAAGTTTATTTTCTTTTTTGGTGATTCAGATTCTGTAGTTTCTGCATTAGTGTGTTGCTCTCAAAACTCTAAAAGCATGTTCCACACCTTGTTCCTCTCAGATTTTGGAAAGCACTTCAGATTCTTAAACCTTCGGACAAGTGCTACAGCTATCTTTAGAATTCTCATATTGGTATCTTCCTTGCATTTTGTCAAATCTACAGCAAAAGTGTTCTTAAATCAAACAACATCTGCTGCATCGTTATCCGAGATTACAATAACAAAAAATATATGTTAGATCCGTGGTCCCCAACGCGGTGCCCGCGAGCGCCATGGCGCCCGCCGGGGGATTTCTGGGCGCCCGCTGAAACATCTGGGCTGGCCCCGCCCCCGGCACATGCATGGTGCCGGCTCCAGGCGCGGGACGCATGGGTGGCCCCTCCCCTGGGCGCGCGGCACATGCGCAGGGCCAGCCCGGGGCGCGTGGGCGGCCCCAGCCCTGGCCCCAGGGCACATGTGCGGTGCCGGCCTGGGGCACGTGACTCGTGGGCAGCCCAGGGCGCACGGCCCATGCGCGGTTCTGGCCCGGGGTGCGTTGCCGGCCCCTGCCCCGGGCGCGCGGCACATACGCAGTGCCGACCCCGGGCGCATGGCTCGTGGGTGGCCCCGCCCCCGTGTGTCCTGC